AGCGTTTGGAGTTTTAGCACAGACTGAGAACCTTTGCAGTATTTTTGTCTGGTACCATCTGTAAACGTAGAGATTTGTTAAACTAATTAACTTTGCACCTTGTCCTGGAGGAATGTAAACTCAACCTCTACCTATCCTAGGCACTCAGCTACTTTTTTTGTAGCTCGACATTTTCTGATCAACCTGTCCAGAGATGTTATAAAACACCTCTGGAGTATATAGGACTTGAACTCAGGCCTGCAGGCTGGAAGAGAGGGTGTTTCTGTGACATTGATGTTTTCATTGTTTTTATTGGCAGAGATTGTGGAACTGGAAAGTGCCATCTAAGTTAGTTCATTGTATCCAATAAATAGTGCATACGGTGTGCAGATAGCAATTGGGATGGATTAGTGATTCCGAGTCTGCTAATGACAGAATTGCAGAATCGTTACAATGCAGAAGTGAGCCATTCAGCCCATTGTATCAGAACCAGCTGTCTGAATGAGCATTATGACTTAGTACCATTTTCCCATTCTTTCTCGATAACCCTGCAAATTATTCCTATTTGAATAATCATCCAATGACCTCTCAGATGTCTTCATTGAATCTGCCTTCACCACACTTCCAGGCAGGACATTCCAGACCCTAACTACTTGCTATGTAAACAAATTTATTCTTGCACCACATTTACTTCTTTTGCAAATCAGTTTAGATCTGTGCCCCTCATTCTTAATCTGATTATAACCAAGAACAGTTTCTCTCTGTCTATTCTGTCCAGAATGCTTATGATTTTGAAAACTCTAATCAAATCTCCTAGCCTTCTCCTCACCAAGGCAAACAATCCCAATATCTTCAATCTATCTTCATAACTAAAGTTTCTTATCCTGGAACCTCTTCCGCTTTCCCTCTCTCTTTCTCTCCAATGCACTCACATCCTTCCTGAAATGTGGTGGCCAGAACTGTACACAATACTCCACCTGAGATCTAACTAATGTTTCATTTATTTTCAACATAATCTCACTATTCTTGTACTTCATCCCACTATTAATAAAGTCTAGGGTACTGTTTATTAACCCTACTCTCCACCTGTCCTACTACCCTTAGTGAATTGTGCATATATAAAGCCAGGAGGCTCTGCTGCTGCACACCCTTTAGAGTGGTACTCTTTAAACTGTTTCTCCTAGTTCTTTCTACCAAAATGTATTATCTCACTCCTCTACTTTGAACCTCAAATGCAACTGATCCATTCACTTTTAATGGAATTGTCAAGGCCCTTTTGATGTTCTATGCTGTTCTCTCCACAGTTTACAATGCTTCCAGGTTTTGTATTGTCTGCAAACTTGAAAATTGTCCTCTATACTCTAAGATCTTGATCACTAAGATAAATCAGAAAAAGTAAGGATTGCAATATCAATCCTTGGGAAACCACACTATAAATCTCCCTCCAGCCTGAAAAATAAGTAAGGCGACTAAAAATGCAGAAACACAGAAGTCTAGATGTTAGCTCACCAATACCCTGTACAACTGTAGCAAAATACACTCTTTTATATTCTAGTCCCCTCGCTGTAAGTGACAACATTCCATTTGCCTTCCTAATCACTTGTTGCACTAGCATTCTAAGGTTTTCTGTTTCATGTAGCAGATCCCTCTACCACAAAATGTGTAGTCTCTTTCTATTTAAATAAGATACATCTTTTATTCTTCCTGCAAAAATGGCCACAATTATATTCCATTTGCAATGTTTTTACTCAGTCATTTAACATGTCTACATCCCTTTGCAGAATCCTTACATCTAATTCACAAGAGATAACAAGGTGTAGAGCTGGATGAACACAGCAGGCCAAGCAGCATCAGAGGAGCAGGAAGGCTGACGTTTCGGGACGTTTCAGAAAGAAGAAGGGTCTAGGCCCGAAACGTCAGCCTTCCTGCTCCTCTGATGCTGCTTGGCCCGTGTGTTCATCCAGCTCTACACCTTGTTATCTCAGATTCTCCAGCATCTGCAGTTCCTACTATCTCTGAAACAATCTAATTCACAACTCATTTTCTCTTATTAATGCATTATCAGCAAACTTAGCAATCATACATTAAGCTCTGTCATTTGTCATTAACATAATTGTAAGTAGTTGAGGGCTCCAGCACCTGATTCGTGAGGTATTCTGTTAGTTACATCCTACCACCCCACAACTGACTCTGTTTCCTTTTGGCTGACCATCCTTCAATTATGTTAGTTTGTTAATCCCATATATAGAACATAGAACATAGAACATTACAGCACAGTACAGGCCCTTTGGCCCTCGATGTTGCACTGACCTGTGAAACCAATCTGAAGCCCACCTAACCTACACTATCCTATTATCATCCATATGTTTATCCAATGACCATTTAAATGCCCTTAAAGTTGGCGAGTCTACTACTGTTGCAGGCAGGGCATTCCATGCCCTTACTACTCTCTGAGTAAAGAACCTACCTCTGACATCTGTCCTATATCTATCACCCCTCAATTTAAAGCTATGTCCCCTCGTGCTAGCCATCACCATCCAAGGAAAAAGGCTCTCACTGTCCACCCTATCTAATCCTCTGATCATCTTGTATGTCTCTATTAAGTCACATATCATGAGTTCTTACTTGTGTACTCACCTTTGATATGCTATTTTGTCAAATACCTTCTGGAAATCTAATTTGCTTGTATTTTTCAAAGAGATTAGACAAACACAATTTTCTTTTTGTAAACAATATTGGTTGCACTGAAATTTTTTAAGTGCTCTGCTGTAAGTTCCTTGATAAGAGATTGTAGCATTTTCCTATGACTAATGCCAAGTCAGTTGGCCTGTAGTTTTCTATCTCTCTCTTGAACTGTGGAGTTACATTTGCTATTTTCCAATCTGATTAAACCTCTCCAGAATATAGAGACTTTTGAAAATTAAATCCAATCCACCAATTAATTCGGCAGACACTCCTTTCAAAACTCTAAGATGAAGCCTATCAGGACATGGGGACTTGTCAGTTTTTAGTTCTAATACATTTCTCAGCACTCTTTCCCTTTAGATGATTGCGTTTGTTTTAGGTCTTTGCCCTCTTTCACCACTTCATGCAATCTTATCTGGGATTTTATTTGTATTCTGTATCGTGAAAACAGATACGAAGGAATCTGACATTTTTGGCTGAGTGTGAATTGCATCAGGACCCAAAGCCTTTGATGTATCCAGTGCCTTGAACTGTTTCTTGATATCACATGGAGTGAATTCATTTGCTGAAAGATTGCATCTGTGATGCTAGGAGCTGAGGAAGACGTTGAGATGATTATCCACTAGGTACTCTGGCTGAAAATGGTTGCAAATGCAACAGAAGTTGCTTCAGTTACTTCAGTTCTGAGGAAGGATCACCGGACCTGAAACGTTAACTCTGATTTTTTTTCTCCATGGATGCTGTCAGACCTGCTGAGCTTTTCCAGCAACTTCTAAATTTGTTCCTGATTTACAGCATCTGCAGTTCTTTTGATTTTTATTTTGCAAATGCATCAGTCTTGTTTTTCGTACTGACCACTGGACATGTCCCATCATTGAGAGGTTGTTTAATAATCCACTACCATTCACAATTGGATGTCACAGGATTGCAGAGCTTAGATCTGATCAATTTTTATAACATTGCCTAGCCCTGTCCATTGCATGATGTTTGTACTGATTGGTAGGCAAGTATTCTTGTGTTGTAGCTTTTTGTAGCATTTTTAGGTATGCCTGTCACTGCTCTTGGCATTGCCTCCTGTACTGTTCGTTGAACCAGCGTTGATCCTTTGGATGAGATAGTAGGTACTGCAGATGCTGGAGAATCTGAGATAACAAGGTGTAGAGCTGGATGAACACAGCAGGCCAAGCAGCATCAGAGGAGCAGGAAGGCTGACGTTTTGGGCCTAGACCCTTCTTCAGAAA